GGCTGCAGTGGTGGGAGCAGCCACTCGCCCTATGCCCACACCAGCGCTGACGTCCCCGAAGCTTCTAGCAAGAAGGCAGAGAAGGAGGCAGAGGTGGCCGCTCCGAGGGCCGGCGGCCAGGGAGAGGACCTGAGGCAGTTTGACTTGAGCTATGGAAGTGAGTCCAGTCACCCTCGGGGAAAGGGAGACCCAGGTAAACCGAGGCCTTGGCATCTCCAAGAGTTGCCCTTTGCCTTTGTGCTGACCGTGTGTGCGCCTGAGAGCAGCCCCCATCAGGCACCACTGTGTTCAGGGGCTGCAGAGGTGAGCCTGACAGAAGGCCTCGCTGGAACCCCATAGCAGCACCCCTGTTTTCCTGTTGTAAAGAAGGGAAGCCTGCCCCTTGAGGTTCCTGGAATTGTCCGGGTCACTCAGCTGGTTAGGAGCAGAGCTGGCATTTAAGTGTACCCATCTCAGAGACTGTCTTCGTGCTGCAGTGCCATCCAGGCCTTACTCGTTGGAGGCTCCAGTGTGTTGCCTCGTGGGGCTGGGGAGGGGTGCAGACATCACAGCCAGGCTTGCCCTCGGCCTGCTTTTGGGAAGCATTGCCTATTGTGGGTTATACGTGACTTCAAACAAATGGAAACGCCGTCTCTTCTCGTGGGATCTCGGTTCAGATGCTATCATTGACGACTGCGCCTCCAGCCATGTGGAGGAGAGCGAGGTGGGCTCTATGGTGGGCGAAGGCTTCATCGAAGTCCTGACCAAGAAACAGCGCCGCCTGCTGGAGGAGGAGAGGAGAAAGAAGGAGCAAGCCGTGCAGGTAGGGATGCAGGCAAGGCATCAGGCAGGGCTGGAGGGTCGCTGGTGGCCGAGAAGCCCAGGGCACAGATCGTTCTGGCCGGGGTGGGGAGGGAAAGGGAGGGCATTTCTTGAGTATACGTCGCCTCCCGGGACCTGCTGCTGCTGTGCCTCCATGCAGATTCTACCCATTCTCAAGGGCCACTCGGCAGTCTGGCGGTGGCTGCAATGGCAGCCTCCTGCATCCCTCCTCCTCCCACCGTGCTCCAGCCTGAGTGGTCAGGGCCGAGTCCCAGGGCGGGGAGCCCTGCACTGCAGAGTCAGGGCAGGACACGCTGCACAGGTCTCTGCTCGCGGCCTGTCAGCCCTCTCCTGGGGTGGCACAGTTGGCATTCCAGGTCACCGACGGTTGAGGTCTTGGAGAGGAGCATTCCAGACACCTGGAGCTGTTTCAGGAGGTGTGGTTGGGCACCGGATCCTTTTTCCCGGGAGCCCTGCCGTCTCCATGCCCTAGGCTAGATGACATTCCTTCTCCCCCCTCCTTAGGTGCCTGTCAAAGGTCGAGGCCTCTCTTCCCGCATTCCTCCTCGATTTGCTAAGAAACAGAACAGCTTGTGTGTGGAGCAGGGCGACGTGAGCGTCCCAGGCAGTAGCCTGGGCACCGAGATCTGGGAGAACAGCCAAGGTGAGAGCCGTGGTGTCCGGGCATGGCCGCTGGGCCTGGGTCTCCTCAGGGAGTATCCTGTGGGAGGAAGAGGGGACCTCCCCTGTTCCCTGGGCTCCTCTGCTGAGCCCAAGTGTCAAATACCCTCAGCCTGTTGGTGCTGTGTCTCCTGAACAGATAAGAATATTCTGGCCTAAAGTCGGTTGGAGGGGCCAAGCAGCTCTGGGGAAGGGTAGCCCGTGAGCGCAGACTCAGGGACTGGGTGTGGCTTTCTCTGCCCATGTCGGTCACCCTTTCCTCCTTGCCCGTGGACAGCAGCAACTGACCAATAGCAAGGCCGCCAGGGACGAGCTTGCTCTTCCTTGGGCCACGTGCCTTCCTTACACAGGAAGAAAGTTCCCCAAGGCCCTCCCTAAGCAGCATCAGGGAATGGCAAACTGGAGTCTGTGGAGTGATATATCTTACCTTGTGGAAGATTCCTTTCCCTAGAAAATGTTTTAGAAGATATCTTATCCAGCAACCAGCAGATGGTGTAGCGGTTACGTTGCTGGACACCCATATAGTCGGCCACAGTTCTAGTCCTGGACCTGGTGGCTTAAAACTCACACCAGGCACATGTGCGTGTGTACCCAGAATCCCGAGAGGAAAAGGGAAGAGAAGGGATTGTGGCGTGGCCATCCCATCTGGGGTGATTTCTCACTTTCTGTCTCTCTGGGAAGTGCATGTTCCCTATAGCAAAACTCCCTGGGGGCTGGGGAGGTGTCACATCCAATGCATCTTCTGGTAACTTCTCACATTGAGCCGACTCCTGAGTGCCAACTTTGCATGGGGCCACACTGGGAGCCCTGAGGCTACACGGATGAGTAAGGCAACACTGGCAACTGCTCTCGGGCCTGGCCGAGACCCCATTCCAGCTTTTCCACAGAGCTCCAAGGCTTCCCGACTGGAGGCGAGGACACACACCCAGGATGGGGCTCTGGGCCTCGGTGCTCAGTGTCACCATGTGGCCTGTCTTCATTTCTGGGTGTGAGCCTACCATCGCAGAGTAACCCTAGACAATACTGAGCTTCGATCAGAAGGGAGTACGACATCCCTCCATAAAACGTTGCTGGCAATACTTTTGGTGGGGTGAGTGAGTGAAGGACATCACAGCAGACATACCCCAGAATCCCACTGGCTAGTTACTGGAGCCGCCGGTCCCCGCATGGCACGGCAGCCTCCTCTCATCAGCCTTGCCCTCAGGATTCTGCAGTGCCTCGTTGGTTGCTCAGACCAGGAGTCTAGGAATGACTTCTGAGGGCCTTGGCTCTAGAATAGCATGTTTTTAAAAGGGTTTCTATTTTTTATAACATTTTTTCATTTGTTCAGAGAGAAAGAGAAACACACACACAGAGGGAAAGTGAGAAAGCAAACCACCAAGTCCGGGACTCGAACAGCAGCCAGCCACAGAGTCCAGCGCCTTAACTACCATGTCAGTACTTTCCCCAATTTTAGTTTTTAAATTTGCAGTAGGGTGCATGTGCTAGCTGCTGGAGGGATGGAGAGAGAGAGAGAGAATGAATGAATGAGAAAGTGCCTCCTAGGAGGATGGCCATGCTGTAGCGAGGGATGGAGAGAGAGAGAGAGAATGAATGAGAAACTACCTCCTAGGAGGGTGGCCATGCTGTAGTCCCTTTTCCATTCTCTTGGGATGTGTGGCACATACACACACACACACGTGCACAATGTGTTTTCCAAGTGACCAGGTCTGAGATTTGAACCACAGTCAGCCATGTACGATCCAGCTGCCTTACCCTCCACCCTGGCTGCTGGCCCAAGTGCAGATGATTTTCTGGGCTCAGGGTCCATGACTTCTTCAGGGTCTCAGAGGCCCTTTTTTAAAATTGAACTAACAGCGTTTGAGTGTCCCCCGGCTGGATCTTCGAGAGACTTTGTAGAAGTTCTCACCTTTTAGGATAAAGAGTTGGCGTAAGTGTAGGAAAGATCAGTGCAGTGGAAGTGGGGGTGCGCCCTCACGTAGGTGCAGGTAAAGGTCACTGGCTTGCTGTGGCAGCTGGCCAAGCACTGACTGCTGAGGAGCATGCATGGAGCCCTGGGCGGGCTGCCGGTGTGTTGGGGATGCACTGGGCCATGCTGACCGAGGTGTCGCTGCAGGGCACAGAGGCAGGGCTGGGTTTCTAAGCTGCACCTGGTGCCATTCCTGTCTGCTGCTCCTCAGCGCCCTGACTCCCCTCTGCAGCCCTCCCCGTGCAGGCCTCCGCAGGCGAGTCCTGGAGGAAAGCCGTCACTGCCTTCAACGGCGCAGAGCCCGGCGCCGCCGAGGTGAGTGCCCTCGCCATCCGCTCGGCTGGCTCTCCCACACCTTGTTTGCCCCAGTCTGCTCGAGCCTCTGCCGTGGCATCTGAGCCTGGCTGGGAGCTGTTCTCAGGCCTGGGCTCACCATGGTCCGCAGTCTGGTTTCTGGCCTGTGCAGCGCTGTGAGCGGGAGAAGAGAAGAGATAAGAAGGGAGAAGTCCACCCTGGGGGGAGGGATTCGGGGTCTCTGCTGGACAGGTCGTAGTACTCGCTCCGCTGGCTCGGCAGTCTCTGTCTAGGGCCCACATGGTCCCATGAGGCCGAGCAGGGTGGGCACGCTGGGCGTTGAGGGAGTCAGGCCCCGTAGGCTGTTAGAACAAGAGCAGCACGAGGCTTTGCAGGGGCAGGGAGCGGGTAGAGCTGGTCTCCGTGGTGCACAGTCTCATTAGGTGGAGGTCAGGCTTTAGTGCGTGGAGGTCAAGGCTCTAACCCACTTCGTGCTCTGCACAGCAGGGTTTTAAGAGCAGCCAGGGCGATAGTGGAGTTGACTTGAGTGCCGAGTCCAGGGAGTCGTCGGCGACCTCTTCACAGCGCAGCTCCCCGTATGGTACTCTGAAGCCAGAGGAGGTGAACGGACCCGGCCTGGCGGAGCCCAAGGCTGACAGCCACAAGGAGCAGGCTCAGAAGCAGTCTGAGCAGAAGGTAACCCTGTCCCCTCAGAGGCCAGGGCTGGGGCGGGCGCTGCTGTCTTGTCTTTGTCCCCAGGTCCCAGGGCTCGGGCAGTGTGAGAGCGGGGTCCCTCCTTCCTGTGTGTCAGCCTCTCTGCTTCTCCACAAGGATTCAGAACAAGGCTCGGGACAGAGCAAGGAGCACAGACCAGGACCCATCGGCAATGAGCGTTCTCTGAAAAACAGAAAGGGCTCGGAAGGGGCCGAGCGGCTGCAGGGGGCCGTCGTCCCACCTGTTAATGGGGTCGAGATTCACGTGGACTCCGTGCTGCCTGTGCCGCCCATCGAATTTGGAGTCAACCCAAAAGTGAGGCTTTACTCTGTTTCCTTCCCCCGTCCCCGTGGTTGGTGTGGCGGGGGTTAGAAGGTTGTCTCTGAGAAGCGGCAGGAGGAGGGGCTGAGCACTGTCCCGGGGAGGGCATGTGGGCACGGACTCCTGGACCGGTTAGGGGCTCCCCGGTTGCCCCTGAGGTTGTTCCCTGGCACCAGCTGGGGCACATCAGGGAGCTGGGCATCCGGGCTCCCTCCCTCGGGTGCCATCGGGGACATCTGGCCGTCGTGTTCCCCGTGGCGCTGTGCACGCTGTGTTGCGCACTTCCTGAGTTGAGACCGTGGCCATGGCGGCATGTGCTCCTGGGAAGGCGGGCGGGAAGATTTCACCGGGCTCCCTGGCCCCTTTAGGACTCCGATTTCAGCTTGCCACCTGGCTCTGCCTCTGGTCCTGCCGGGAATCCGGTTGTCAAACTGCAGGACGCACTGGCCAGTACTGTAAGTCTGCCCCCACACCCCGCCAGCTTGTATACGGAGAGGGGACTGAGGGCTCCGGGCTCCGGCGGCCTGGGCGTGACTGTCAGGCTGCCACAGTCCTCAGGCAAGCTGCATGAACGGTCCGGCCCGTGCACCGGCTCCTTTGAGCCAGGTGTGGGCTGAGACTGGTAGGCTCCTTTTCACAGCTAGAGGGGGGAAGCAGATAAAGCAAAGTGTCCCCTCCACCACCCATGGTCCTCACAGTCTGTGGTCTGTCGTGTCCATAGCCAAGCCTGTGGTGGTGTCGTATCTGTTGGCTGCTCTATCCCTGGTACCTGGTGGGGTAGGAGCCCGGTAGATGGGTGGAGTGGGTGAGAGTCCTTGGGCAGCGTGCCCCAGAGGGGCCTCACGGGAGGCTGTTGGCGGTGTTGGTTAGCATCCCAGGAGGAGGGCTGGGCAGCCTTTGGGTTCGAGATGTGGGGCTGACCAGGAGCTGTGCTCTCAGGTGCCTTAGCCTCGTGGTGTAATCGGGACCCTGGGGGTCTGCGGGAAGAGGTTCTTGGTGTAGCACCTCTAGCCTCAGAAACCTCCTTCTCAGGGCCCTTCGGGGCCCAGTGACTCTGAGGGCTTCGGCTGTTCTGTCTCGAAGCCAGGCAGCAAGTGCTGGACTAGCTGTGTGCTGTGGCCAGTCCGTTTGTGGCTGGGATGGGCGCAGCCCTTCCTGGAGGTGTGGTGGGGACGCTGCATGGACGTTTGTTGAGGAAATGTGAAGGCAGCCGTCTGGGGATCAGCTCTGGCCACTTTTACCTTGGGGCTCGAGGACAGCCAGCCAGAGCAACGGTGCACTGGGTCCGGCTGTGTCGTTCTCTGCTCCTGTGTGTGTCCCATGGCTCCTCTCCCCCTCCAGGCAGGGTTGGCACAGAGCATTCCTATCCTCCGGCGGGATCATCACATTCAGAGGGCCATCGGCCTGTCCCCGATGTCCTTCCCCACCGCCGACCTCACTCTGAAGGTAACAGCAGCCCTGAGCTGGGCAGGGGTGCACGGGGTGCAGCTTGGGCCTGTACTGTCCCCACCATCCGGTAGTAATCTTCACCCCCCCACCCCCCGAAGATGGAGTCTGCGCGCAAGGCTTGGGAAAACTCCCCCAGCTTGCCAGAGCAGAGCTCACCAGGAGCGGCCGGCTCTGGCCTCCAGCCTCCATCCTCCGTGGGCGCCTCCAGCGGGGTCAACTACAGCTCCTTTGGCGGAGTGTCCATGCCGCCCATGCCTGTGGCCTCCGTCGCGCCTTCCGCGTCCATGCCAGGTATCTCACCCCTGCCGGGCTTCAGGAGCCTGGTCTGCTCAGTACTGAGAGAAGAGCTGGAACAGCAGCCCTGCACACCTCCTTGCCTTCCACGCTCACAGAGCGTGTGCACGTGTGAATTCGTGTTCTGGCCATGCGCTGTCGATCTGTGCCCTCCCACACCCCATCCTGTGCAGGGCTCTCCCACCTCCTGGGAGGAACCAGCCGTCCCCGCAGTGACAGCTCACATGAGCTGCCAAAGGAGATGGGTGGTGACGGTGCTCGGTGGTGTAGCCACACCTGCAGAGAGGCCTTGCCTGAGCCCTGCCTTAGTGTCACCTCCCAGCCACTGCGTTGGTGTCCCACAGGAGGGCCCTGCTGCCAAGGTCTCGGTGATGGAATTCCAATAGATCCTTCTGACCCTGCACTGTGGACTCAATCGCAGGGGGGTGACGAGGACAGAGACTGAGAGACCGAGGCAGCCCTCAGATAGAGTGCACACCCTCCGGGTTGTCCAGGCCAGGTGGTGAGTGGCGGGTGGGAAAGGCAGACTGGAGGTCACTTCCCTTCCCTCCTCTGGGCCTGAGGCTGTGCTCTCAGGGTCCCTGGGGGCTTGCCAGGGGTACTGTAAGAGCGTGTGGGCAGAGACCCTCACCAAGCGGCCCGAGTGTGGAAGCAGTGTAGAAGGTTTCCTTGCAGGGACAGTCAGGAATAGCAAGGCTGGATCCATCTCTGCTTCTCGCTACATCCTTTTTCCAGGAAGCCACCTCCCGCCTCTGTACCTGGACGGCCCTGTGTTCGCAAGTCAGCCGCGGCTGGTCCCTCAGACCATACCTCAGCAGCAGGGTTATCAGCAGGTGATGGCGGCCGGGTGGCTGGGGTGGCAGGCGGGCAGCACGGGCACAGCTGCTCCCGTCCGTGTGGCCGTTGTCCGTGCCCCTCACGCGCGCCCCCACACCTGCCCTGTGTGGCATCCAGGACATCTTTGTCAAGTGAATGGACAGGGGACAGGAGAGGAGCGGAGGGGCTAAGTACTCCAGACGCTGTTTAGTTTTCCTTTCTCAGAGTCTTCCTTCCTGCATCCTAGCTGCAGAATTAGCTGAAATGGAATTTTCTTTGGTGATCAGGTATCCTTCTGATGAAGAGAAGAAAGGCCTAGACTCCCAGGCATGGATGCGTTAGAAAGAGGTAGTTTTAGAACAAGCAGGTGTCTGCACGCAGGACTGGCACGCTTTCTGTGCTCCAGGGGATGCTTTCCTGAAGCCTCTCTCCTCAGGAAAGCTGGAGCCAGGCCTTCTGAGGGGCCCCAACACTCCCAGACCCAGGTGCTTCAGGCAGCATCTGCTCTGTAAGCAGATTTGGGGTCAGAGGACAGAGGACACAACCTGTCCCAGCCTCTGTAAACACACTCCTCACTGTTGGCTGGTTTTGCGAGACCTGACCCACTGTCACGGGCCTGGACTGCGTGTGTCTGCCCTATGCCTCTGTCGGGTTTTATGGAGCAGCGGGGAGCCGGCTGCCTGCACCCCAGAGCCGGGCAGCCCGGCAGGACAGCTGGACGTGCATTAGGCAGTGTTCCCGCGGGCCGCCACACGGCGAGGGCTGCAATGGGAGGTGGGGTCCACCCTGGGAGCACCGGTTCACCTGCTGCCTCTCACCTGCAGGCTGCTGCGGCCCAGCAGATCCCCCTGTCTCTGCACACGTCTCTGCAGGCTCAGGCTCAGCTGGGACTGAGGGGTGGCCTGCCCGCCTCCCAGTCGCAGGAGATCTTCAGCTCCTTGCAGCCCTTCAGGTGAGCTGTGCATCTCGGGCTCTAAACCCGCACGTGCCCCTTGCTCTGCCCCACTCCTGCATCTCTGCTTTGGGGCCTGGGACCGGGGCACTCTGTCCATTTCAGGATACCTTAGTACCCAGCCCAGGAGGCCATGGTGGCCACTCTGTGGTGTCCTGCTTCCTTTCCGTGTCGTCCAGTGCCTTCCCTTGCTCCTCCCTCCTGCCCCTCCGCTGTCTCTGGCCCTCTCAGTGCCTGATGTCCCACACGCTCGGCCTTATATAGGCCTTCCCTGAATCTGTGCTGCCTGGGTGTGCTCATTGTTTAATCCAGGGTTGCTCAAACTGCAGTCCCTAGACCAGCAGCAACAGCACTGTCCAGGAGCTTAGGCTCTCGGGCTCCTCCCCGGCCTCCATGTGCCGCTCTGGGGCCCTTCTGGGCTGGTGGGTTCCCCTCGCCGGCCCTGACCTTCTGTGTGGCTGTTGCAGGTCCCAGGTGTACATGCATCCCAGCCTGTCGCCTCCCAGCACCATGATCCTCTCGGGGGGTACAGCCTTGAAGCCCCCGTACTCGGCGTTCCCGGGCATGCAGCCCTTGGAGATGGTGAAGCCTCAGTCCGGCTCGCCCTCCCAGCCTGTGAGCGGGAGCCAAGCCCTGGTCTACGAGGGCCAGCTCGGCCAGGCAGCTGGCCTGGGCGCCTCCCAGATGTTGGACTCACAGCTGCCACAGGTCAGGATCACACTGGCCCCCGCAGGGTTCTGGCTCTCCACTTCCCTGCCTCTCGGTGTGCTGTGCCTGGTCCCAGGGACGCTGGGACTCGTCTCTGCCACACACTTGCCCACCCGAACTTCCCAAACCGCTTCCACGGAGAGCACTCTCGAGCAGCTCCCAGGTGCTGCGGGGCATGGAGGTGGCGTAGGGGACCTTCTTGCTTCTGACTGTCTCTCCTTTCTCCCTGCAACCCCAGCTGTGAAGCCCACACCCTGGCCCACCAGCTAGCCCTCCCCGCATTGCTACAAGCGTCACATCACAGAACCAGCGTCTGACCCAGGGCCTCCTTCCCCTGGGCCTGTGAGCGTGCTTTTCACCTGTGAGGGCGACTCCCCCACTTGGCCTCGGGCTCAGTCTCTCATCTCCTATTGTAGTTTTGGTGATTGTATTAAACAAAATTTATTTTAGATTCTGGCTATAGGGCACGTGCACTTGCCAAATGCCAAGGGAAAGTGAGAAATCGCCTCTAGGGGGGTGGCCATACCACAGTCCCTTCTTCTCCATTCTCTTCCTGGGATTTTGGGTACACCCGTGCGTGCACCCAGAGCGTCAGGCTGCTGGGTGCAGGACTCAAACCACAGAGTTGGCTGTGGGATCCAGGGCCTTAACTATCATGTCACCTACGGGCCCAGTTTTGGTGGCTTTGACGTCTGCGTAGATGAACCCCCGGGTCTGTGCCATGGAAGCTGCACCTATGCTTGGCCCTTGAGCGCCTTCCCTGTCCACCCTCTGAGTCGGATAGGTCACTGCAGCAGCTGTGCCTCTTCCACAGTCTCAAGTTTAAGGACCCTACACCTTTGTCAGCTCGGACTTCTCTAACTCCCTACTTCTAGTGACCCGAGGGTCCGAGTGCCCACCTTCACCATCCCGTATGCCTTTGGCATCAAGCCCGGCTCCGCCTGCTGGCCACACTGGCAACCTGCCCTGCAGTCCCTGGTGCCTGCTGCCCCAGGGGCACACATGCCACTGCCAGGCTGTACTGTGAGCCTGCAGCGTGCCACTGTTAGCCTGGCAGCCTTGGCCCCAGGGTCCTCCTCCTCTTGGTCCTAGTCGGCTTCTCCTGTCAGCCACAGCATGCTCCATCCCCAGGCTGCCCTGCCCTTGTAGCTCTGCAGCCACGTGTGGCCTGCGGGCCCTCATCCCAGTAGCCCTCACTGTCACTTGACTCTGGGGTCTTGACTCATCTTCCCCCTGCCCCTCACTCTCTTTGCCTTGGCCACAGTGCAGCTCCCACTGCCCTCCCTGGCCTGTGGCAATTATCCACCCCTAGCCCGTGTCTCTGGGCCTCCTGATCCCGTAGCTGTAAGTCACATCCATGCTCTCTTCACTCCCTGGTTCCTGTCTTCAGCTAACTCTGTCCCCTGGACGTGATTCTCAAACTAGTGGACTGCCAGCGTCTCTGTGTTGATGCCTCGTGCCATCTTGATCATACCATGAGCAGACCTCTCCCCAGTCCCTTTGCTGGCCCATCCTCATCTTCCCAGCCTCCCCTCCCTCACTGCCTCCTCTGATCCTTCAGCAGGTCCTGTCAGCTCCATCTTGACAGGCATTCCGAGTCCAGTGCTCCTACCGCCTCCGCCCGCTCGTCCCGGCATCTGTGCCCTCAGGGCTGCCGCTGTCGGCAACACAGTAGCCAGGGTGATCCTCTGGAAGCACACGGCTCGTCGTGCCAGCAGCGGCTGCCCTCGTCACCTCCCTCTTGCCCATCAGTACTCCAAAGGAGACAGAAGTTGAGGTTCTGGCCAGTCTCCAAGACGGAGTCCCAGAAGGTCCTCTTACCGTCCACTGCAGACTGGAGAGAAGGGAGATGACGAGGACAGTGACAGATGGACAGTAGCCGCCCCATCCGTAGTTTCCAGGCCCTCATCCCTACTGCCTCGCCTGTTCTGGACGCTCTGTGTCCTTTAGGCCTTTCAGCCATCCAGTTCTTAGGTCGCAGAGTGCTTTGAGAGAGGCCTGGAGTCCCACGCTCCGGCAGGGCCATGCTTTCTGTCACAGTCGATGCCAACAGTAGGAGAGTTTGGCGTGTCTGCTGCGCAGGGTGCAGAGGTGCATGTCCTGGCCAACTCCCGACCCTGGGCTCGGCTCTTACTGAGAGGCCTGCCTGGCTCCGCTTGCCCAACCTCTCCTGGCACACACACGTATGCACGCTCCCCTCCATACACACAAGCTGGGCTGCTGCCCTACTCTGAGACTGTGCTGCGTGCCCTGTGTGTCGCATGTGGCCCTTGTCTGACAGTGGCCCTCTGCTTTCCCTGACCCCAGTGCATTCAGTAAAGACTTGATGGATGAAGGCGAAAGGGGCCGAAGAGGTATGGCCCCTGCAGGGATGTAGAGGAGACCACCTGTCCCGCTAATGCCCACAGGGGCTTCTGAGGTGCAGCCACTCCCCTCTCTCGGTTCTCACCGCTATATTCCAGTTGGGCCTGCCCCTGCCCCCCGCCCCCACTCCCACCCCAAGGGTGTGGACTCAGGGCCAGCCCCCTGGCTGCAGCAGAGATCCAGAACCTCACTGCCTTGCACAGGGCTTGCTTTCCTTTTGAGGGTCCGTGTAGCTGCTCTTGGGCGCGTACGGAACTCTCCCTGCGCCCCTTCCTTCCCTGACTGTCCTTGTCGCCCAGCAGCTCACCATGCCGCTGCCCCGGTACGGCTCTGGGCAGCAGCCCCTCCTCCTGCCACAGTCCATTCAGCTGCCGCCGGGACAGAGTCTGTCTGTTGGGGCTCCCCGAAGGATTCCCCCGCCTGGGTCCCAGCCCGTCCTCAACGCCAGCAGAGAGGTAAAGTGAGCTGGGCCCTGCAATCCCACCAGCCCCCCACCCCTGTAGGAACTGCTGCGTGGTGGCGGGTGCTAGCGCCTTAGGTGCTCTGACCTCGCCAGACTGCTGCTCTTGTCGGAGCTACGGCGTCAGGAAGCTGTGGTTTGGGTGTGAGCCAGCAATGTGAGCAGCCACTGGAAGGGCAGGAGGGAGGGCGCACACCCTGGTGTCTCAGGCTTGAGACTGGAGCCATTGCTGGTGCAGGGTCTTCCTGCCCAAAGTCTCCCGAGCGTAGCCCACGGCCGAGGGCCAGGAGGTCAACAGTCCTCTCAGCTCTGCTGTGGTGACCCTAGGGCAGAGGTGAATGAGCAGTGTGGCCAGGCCCCTGTGATCCCCCCTGCTCCACTTAAAAAGAAAAAATATAAGCTAGCCAGTGGTGTGGCTAAGGTGGCTGGATCCCACGTGGCCACCTGTGTGGTTCAGTCCCAGACCCAGTGACCGTGTGCATGTCCCAAATCCTGAGAGAATGCAAGAGAAGGGAGTGCAGCATGGCCATCCCCTGTGGGGGTGCTTTCTTGCTCTCTCTCTCTCTCTCTCTCTAGTGAGTGTATGTACCCTATGTCCTATAGTAAAATAAGATTTTTAAAAGAACAAAAATATTGCAATGGTTCGTAGTTCTAAGAAAAAGCCCTCTTCTGAACCTGGACTGCAGGGGAGAGATTGCAGCTTCCTTCAGAAGGCGCCTCCTGGAAATCCCTGTGACCCTCACGGTTCTGTCCAGGGTGGTTTGGTGTAGGCCAGGCTGTCTTCAAGGCTGACAAATGACAGTGTTGCTCCTTGGTCCCTTTAGTCCTCGCAGATGGAGATGAAAGGCTTCCACTTTGCCGACAGTAAACAGAATGTTCCTACAGGAGGCTCCGGGGCATCCCCACAGACCTACAGGTAAAGACTTGCCCGGGTCTTGGATGCTGCCTGGCCGAGCTTTCATGGTGGACAGGCTTGGTGGCCCAGAAGCAGCCATGGGCCCTGGAGAATGGTGGCAGGGCTTGTAGCCTGGTCATCTTCATAGGCTGATGCATCACCATGAAGTTTCAGGGCTGGGGCAGGTGTGTGTGTAGTTGACCATGAGAAAATGGGGATATCAGGAGAGAGATTTTGCTTTTAATAGTAAGGTGCTCTGGATTGGGAGAGCTTTCTGGAAAGGTGGGGAAAGGAACAGCCGACGTTTTAGTAGACATCAGGACCAACCCCACCTACTCACACATTTTCACCAGATTTTTAAAATAAGACCTGCGGGCCAAGAACCATACCTGGTTGGGAGAGAGGAGAATGGCCCTTCTAGGGTCCCTTGCCTGACCTCGCCCTCTGACCCCTGCCAGGGGACTGTTTATTGCCAACTGTGGTGCCTCTCTTCTCTCAAACTGGCACCTGCTTTTCACTTTCTCTGTTTCGGTCCCCGCCTCCTGTGACTGTCCCAGGCCCCCATCACTAGATTCAAAGGCGGCCCTGTTGGGTGGTGGCGGAGAACCGCTAGTCAAGCTGACTTTCACACCTGGGCTGGGATGGGCAGGCAGTGGGTTCTGGCTCTGGGCCCAGGGGTGTGTCCAGCTGACTCTAACTACACGTGGGAGAGTCCTGGAGATCTCCCCTATGTTTGCAGACAAGTAGAACAGATGTCGGACTGACAGGGCCCCGAGAGGCTCACACTGCCCGCCAGGTGCCAGGAGCACCGCGGGAACACGCAGGTGCCTGCTTGATGGAGGGGCACTGTAGGTCGGTGCCTGCTGTCCATGCGGTGCTATGTCTCCGAGGGGGCGGGGCCTCCAGCGCATCATTCTGCACTTCCAACCTTGTTTGCAGAGAAGGTCTTTCATGACTGCCCCTCGTTTCATCTTTCTGTTCTCATTTTCACTATCTGGGCTTCATTTATTTTTGTTTGTTAGTATGTTTTGTTTCCCCACCAAGTCTGTCACATCGGCCTGAACAGCGGAGCTGTAGGAAGGGAACAGGCGCTGCGTGAGAGTGCTATTAGGGAGGTCGGCTCCGAAGACGATGCACGGGCTCCCGTCCGGGAACACTCCTGTGCAGGAGTCTCCTCTTCAGCCGAGGAGTGGCAGTATACCCGTCTTCAGAGGATATTCAGATGAGATAACACGGACGGAAGCTTCACTTAGTATTCGTAGCCTTTGTTTCGGTAGTTTCTTAGAGGGCTGAGGAAACGGATATTTTTGTAGAACAAGGTTTCCCAAAGTTATCTAGCAACACTGTGCTGAGACATTCCCTGTAGATGAAGGGCCCCCTGGTCAGATACCTGGCAGGCGTACTGTCTGCAGGGTGGCACGTGGGCGCCCATGCTCGCTTGCGCAGGGCCCATGCCACCGGCCACGAGAGTCCTGTTGAACCTGGGCACATAGCACTTCTTACGCTTTCCACCACAAACTTCTCTTTCACTCAGCTCCGAATTAACACCCCTGGGTCTGTGGTCAGTGGAGCATGTTTAGAAAGAAGGTACACGTTTTTGTCCTCCCTCCTTGTCTGAAAGTGAAGACTAGTGAAGCAGCACGATTCTGGCTCAGTGCCTGGCCCATAGCCCTTCCTTCTCAGGCACTTAGACATCAGGTTGGTCCAGACCCTCTGAATGCTGAGGGCTCACTGTCTGTCTGCCCGCGGTAGTACAGAAATCTGCCCCCAGTAGGGGCCCCGCCCCTCCTCTCCTCTCCTCTCCTCTGGGTGTGTCTCCTAGAACTCCGTCTTGCAGGTGTCAGGTGGACCCTTTACCTCTTCCGCATTCTTGGCTGTCTTAGGTCTGTGGTTCGTTCCATTCCAACCGCCCGGAGCGATGCTCTGGCCAAAGGCCCTTCCCTGTGCTCTGACTCGTTTCTGTGGCGACGCGTTGTGTGTTCTCACCCCTGCCTTTGGTTTTTTCAGGCCTAGCTCTGCTAGCCCCAGTGGGAAGCCCTCTGGATCAGCAGTTAACATGGGCTCTGTGCAGGGACACTTCGTGCAACAGGTAGAAGATGGCTTTCCAGACCTCCCGTCCTGGGCACTTTGGCCTGTCTCTCCGAGTGTCCAGCCCATTTGAGTGCTCCTTTTATAAAGAGATACGTGCCCTGACAGTCGGAGTGTGGCACAGGAGCCCGACACCCTGGGTCCCTCCTGGCAAAGGCATTTCTCCTCTTAATGGGCGTCTGGATCCTTCCTTGTCCTGCAGAGAAGGGAGGATACTGAGCCCTGAGGAGGCAATGCTAGAAGGTGGACCGTCCCTACAGCGCGGGGCTGTCCAGCGCTTTGGGAGCCGGTCAGGACTGCGGGCTCGCGCCCGGCAGGTGTGCGTGTGCTGCTAGCTCTAGCCAGTGCTGTGTCGCATCTTTGTCTTGGCTAGGTGGGTCACTGGCAGTCGAGTGTCCCATCTACATAAAGAGGGTTTCACAGTGGCTCTTCTGCAGTGCTGTTCTCTTCACTCCTACTCTGCAGTGTGCGCTGGGCTCCTGGCTCCGGCCGCTCGGGCTGGGTCTTCAGCATGTCACACGTCAGCTTTACTTGCTGGGAGAGGGGGCCCAACTGCTCCCATTCGCCCCTCCATACTCGGTTTCCTGGGGCCCAAGGGAACCATGTGGAGCGAGCAGCTGAAGCAGGCATCTGGCAGGGGCTGGCCACTCTCACCCCTGCACCCCCACCCCTCCCCTCATCCCTGTGCAGAGCAAGAGCTGCTGATTCACCGAACTCTTGATTGGGAGTCTTGGTCAATCTAGGGTCCCGGGACAGGTTTTACCAGGTGGGAACCCGGAAGTATAGGGAGTGGGGACGGTTGTACCATGGAAGATCTGGGAGAGCTGAGGCCTGCCCCACCCCTTGGCTGACATTGGAGACTCCAAGAGTAGTAGGATGCCCTTGGGGCAACCTGAAGGGCATAAGGGCGCTGATTTGGAAAGGTTCTCCCGGCAGCCTTGGGGCCACCTGCTAATGCCCTGGGATATGCCTTCAGCCTCTCTGAATTAGTGTGCTCTGTGCTTACAGGGAGGGCACAGAGTAGTCACCCGCCAGTGTCCCCTCCCCCCCAGAGTGACTTTAAGTCTGGTCCTTTGATGGGGGCCGGACTTCTTAGGCACCTTACTCTGGCTCAGGAGCAGGATGTGGGTGGTGGGTTGGGACCCAGACAGATGTTGCTGTGTTAGGTCACTGTGTTTCATGTGTCCAAAGGCAAAGCAGCGAGTGGATGAAAAACCCAGCCTGGGAGCCGTGAAGCTGCAGGAGGCCCCCTCGGCTGCGTCCCAGATGAAGCGAACTGGAGCAATCAAGCCTCGGGCTGTCAAAGTGGAGGAGAGCAAGTCCTGAAGGTGCCCGGCCGCCACCTCGCCTCACCCAATGGGGACGGTGCCGCCACTCAGCCTCACAGAGTCCATGCTCAGGAACCTCGCCAGACCCACTGTCCCAACGCCTGGCCTGGACCGAGAGGTCTCCCTTCTCTTCTCCACTCCTGAAAGCTCCATTGTCAACCAGCTTGCACCGTGGATAGACGGCAATGACCCGCTTGCTTTGATACAAAACGAACAGATGAGCAGACAACTCCTCCATCCCCTTTCTTCTGTGACCGTGGAGTGACTCCGCCTCTGTGCAGTGTAGACCCGCCCGCCCGCCCAGCGCCAGGGGCCAGGGGCCTTCTCGGTGTTTCTGGCTCAGCCTCCCTGTCCCTGAGCACTGCGGTTTGGCAGCAGGAACATTTTAGTTTGAGGCTTTTTGTTTTAAAAAGCAGCTAAAGTTTTTACAAAGGGGAGAGAAAAGGAAACAGCCGAGCTGCGAGCACGTGGCTGAGCTCCCGTGCGGTCTCTGCCACCACCACCCCGCCCTCTGTCTCCAACGGTTTCCTTTAACCTCTGTCCGGTTTAATTTGATCTTCCCTGCGGTACCTTCGGAAATGACGCTCTGCGTGGCCCCCCTGGCCCCCCACCTCTCCAGTGGTTATCCTCTGAGGTTATTTGCTAAAAAGAAGTGGAGGTCCGTGCGGGCCCAGTGGTGAGCTGTGTCGTCAGGTCCCCTGGAAGCCTAGGGGTCTCCGTGGGAGCCGGCTGACAACGTCTTAGCGTAAAGGTGGCAGAGTGTCTGTCTCAGGCACTCCGGGCACCCACCACTGGAGACGGTGCTGAGTCACCAGTGATTTTCAGGTTGGCCTGGAGCTCCACCCCCCCACCCCGTGGGCCTCTGCCTTTCCATGCTCACCTCCTGTTCCCAATTCTTCCATAATCTATTTTCTTTCCTTCTGGCTCCTGCATCCCTGTCTCTGCGCCTCTCACGCTCATCACCTGCTCACATGGTGGGTGACAGGAACATGTGGACACATACCTAGTGGGGTCTGCAGCAGAGGCATGTGGTCCCCAGGGAAGGCCTGGGGGTCCTGTGCATTCTGTGTGTCTCCACTCCCAGAAGCAGACCCACGTTGTCAGGACGTGTACCTGTGCCAAGCAGCAGGGGTCAGCGTGTGGGGGCCGAGAGAAGGGTGGGGCACCGAGGGGGCAGAGGGCTGACCGTGGGCAGCCTCTAAAGAATGACGGCATCGAAGCCAGTGGAGCCACCTGCAGCAGGACATGTGTGGGAGCCATTATATATATGTGGGGCTTTTGTTACTGTTTTCAAATGAGGAGGAAGGAAATTATCCCAGATTCTGTCATTCCAAGGAGAGGGAGGGGACATTTCCAGTTTCTCCAATGCTGCCTGTCGTCACTGGCGCTGGCAGGGAGGAGCCCTGGCTCAGGACCATCACCCTGGGTGGGTCAGAGCCGCCTGGGCTCCAGGTTCTGAGCTCCTGCCTAGTGCAGAGCCTGGGAAGGCATCAGGCCCAGACCTGCTGAAGTCACTCGTCACCACTTTGAGGCACAGAGGAACAGGGGTCCAGTATGCTGCGGGCACTGCCCGCTGTCCAGGAAGGGGCGGTGCTATTGAAGGGCACTTTACCACTTGCTCTGTAGCTCCCGGCGGCTCCCCTGCCTCTGCCCTCAGACCTGCCTGGCTTATCCCTTTTCTTTGTCCCCTGAGTCTTCACACTTCAGTCCCTTCTCCAAGGGCTGCCCATGCAACAGCACCCCAGCACCGCCGGCCACTGTCCCTCATCTGCTCTCCCTTCTCCCCTGCAAGTGTCTGGTCACCACCCTGTGATGTGTCCTTTGCCCCACCCTGCTGGAGCCACATGCTTCAGAAACCCCTCCAGATCTGCCCCACCCAGCGCAGGTGCCCATGGCTTGACAAAAGGAAAAGTCTGGTTTAGCAAGTTGACAGAACAGGCCCGGATGCTGTTACCAACTTCAGGTGCACCCCCACCAGAATGACAGACTCCCTACTGGAGGGAAATAACGCAGAAAGACACCTGTTCTCCAGCCCTCTTCTCTTTCC